ACGATATTTATTTAAATTAAATTTAACATTATTTAGTTTAGCTCTTTCTAAAACATTTTTCAATCGCTTATCATGTTCGGTTTTGTTTCGTCCCCAAACAATAATATCGTCAATATAAATGTCAGTCCCCTCAATGTCACAAAAGATACTTTTGAACCTATCTTGAAAAATTTCTGGAGCACTTTTGATACCATATGGTAGACGAAGAAATTTATATCGACCATAAGGTGTTCCAAAAGTGCACAAGTTACTGCTCTTTTTATCTAGAGGAATTTGGTAGAAGCCATTTGTGGCATCGAGAGTGCTAAAGACAGTGGCATTTGCTAAATTGCTAGATATTTCTTCAAATGTTGGTATTCTACAGAATTCTCTTTTAATAACCTCGTTAAGATCTTTGGGATCCAAACAAATCCTTATTTTTCCGTTTGGTTTACGAACCAATACCAAAGCGTTCACCCAATCAGAGGGACCTTCTACTTTTTCAATAATCTTTTCTTTAATTAGGTCTTCCAAACTATCTTTCAAAGGTTTCATTAATGGAAAGGCAACCTTTCTGATTGGCTGGACTACTGGTTTGCTATTTGATTCTAGTTTGATACTACAAGTTTCCTTTATACACCCTATTCCATTAAATAAGGCGCCAAATTCACTAACTAAACTTTTGTAATTATCATTAAGAGTTACACTATCAATTTTTTTGATTAAATTTAAAGAGATGCATGCATTAAGTCCTAAAATTGCTGGAGTGTTACTCTCTACGATAAAAAATTCTAAATCATGCAATACATCTTCTTTCAGACATGGTATTTTATATGTGCCCATTACCTTTAAAGGATCTCCAGTATAAGATTTTAGTTTAATTTCGGTTTTAACAATTTTTTTAGGATCTAAGCGTAATTGCTTGAAAGAAATAAATGATATAATATTAGCCATTGCATGATTGCACCAGTATCAATTTTAAATGTATGAATTTTGTTATTAATTTCTAACATTGTTGACCATTCATTTGTTTCTCTCAAACCCGCAGAATTTATGTGTCCTATAAACAGTGAGTCACTTACTTGTTCTTGTTTTACGACACTTACTTTCAAAGTGATTTTTAATATGACAGAAGTTACATTCTTTTCTAAAGGCTGGGCACTTGTTTATTAGGTGATTTTTCCCACACCTTGAACAGTTATTTATTGCATTTTGTCCTCTTGTTGATTGTTTATTTTTTTGGTAAACTATGTCCACATTCACACAACTTTCCATGCTCTCGCTCCTCTCCTTGGATATTTCATAAATAGCGCATTTTTTGATAATTTTGTCCAAAGATACGCTGTCTTCTTCTTGCAGCAACCTCTCTCTAATTTGAGTGTTGTTCAATCCACAAATTAAAACTGTTTTGGTTAATTCTTCTTGGAGATTTCCCAATTTACACTTCATCGCCATTTGCTTAATTTCAGTTGTGAATTGGTCCAACGTTTGGCCTGGCTGTTGCTTGCATGAAAAGAACTTGTATCTCTCATACGTTACATTTTCTTTTGGCAAAAAGTGTGCCTCAAACTTATTCAACAGAATTTGTAATTTGTTTTTCTGATCGGCTGCAAAATTAAATGTGGTGTAAATCTTGAAACCCTCGTCTCCTATGAAATGTAATGCTTGGGCGCATTGTATTGCTTCATCTTTTTTGTTAATTTCACTAGCTATTAGGTAGTTTTCAAATCTAGATCTCCACATTTTCCAGTTTTCGGCTATATTGCCTATCATTTGCATTTGTGGCACGCCCCTGCTGTCTCCCATTTTGACGATTATTTCCGAATTTGGGCTTATTTATTTAATTTTTTATTTTTTTCAATTTTTGTTGTCAAATAATTACTCACGACTCACGACTGCGCCATGTTATACTTTTGTTTTATGGATTTTTATATTTTTAATTAAAACAACAATAGTTTTACTTGCTTATTTATTTACTGACTGCCAGCTCCCAGCTGTCCCGCCACCAGATACCAATTACATTTTACAATGCATTCAATGGACGTACATTCCTTACAGTATCGACCAAAAACAAAATATTGCTGATGGAATTTCTGACGAAGATTAGACGTCTACAATGTTCTTTTGCAGCGTCACAAGTCGCCTATATTGCTTGCTGTTTCCTTCATTTTCCTGCCATTTGCATGATTGAACTAACTTCGTTGCCCTCTTCCCATAATAACTATAATACCAACAAATAGTCCTCTGATGGACTTGTTGAATTGTTTGGGTGTCTTATTAATGACTCAACAAATTTCTTCAACTCAGCAACTTTGTTTGATAATTTGTCAAATTTTTCATTGAATCCTTATCATAAGGTAAGTTATTTGATTTTCAGGAATGGATTATTGCTGATCAAAAGATTCACAAATATTGTCAGTCATTTTTGCGAGTTCTCTGATGTCTTAGGACAAGTAACCCAATATTGATATTTGGCGGAAAATGATGGAGAAACATTTTCTTTAAGAAGATTTGATCTATGGCAGGAAATTTTTCTGTAAGTGATTGTACGTGAGTGAGCATCCTTGAAAGTCGTTCTCTTTCAAACTTTAAATGCATAAGAAATTGAAAAGTCGCACCCGCTCCGAGTCAAGTAGAGTCGTTCTCTTGATGATTTCATTCTTAAGATTTTCATATGAGTGGAGAAGGTATTATCTACCAGAATATCTCAGACAGCAAAGCAGAAATAATGTGGATATATTTAATCTTCGAGTCGGTATAATACCATAGTTTGAAAAATTGCTTCAACTTGAACAGTCCAGAATCATGGCTCCAAAACTAAGATGGTTTTATGTTGTTTATGTTGGTCACCGGAATTCTAACAGGATTGGCAAATGGTCTCGGTATTTCTCGATCTTCAACTGTATCCTTGCGTCCTCTGACTCTGGGAATTTTCTTGTCGGGGACACTAATTTGTAGGAATTAATCGAGAGTTTATTAAGAATATCTCAAATTAGTTGATATGGGTTGTCACAGTTGAATAGGTACCTACGTGCTATGATAGCTTCTTATCCAATGTGTTCAGAAATGGAACCAAAATTCATTACAACTCAAGGAACACTGATAAAGGTTTCTGAAAGGATATTCCTACAGTTCAAAGGACCCCTTCCCCTCTAATTCTTATAACAAATACATTCTCATAATTAGAGATGACTAAATGGCTATCCTGATTTTCATTTAAAAAAATAAATAGGGTAACGGTAACACCAAATAAAAATCAGTTCTATCTTATCTCTTCATATAATATATTTTAGCGACGTGCTTCAATTAATATCTCCTTGACCATTATAATATCCGCTTCATCACTCTTGTGGATCATTATCCTTCATATTCAATGCCAATTTTAATGATAATCAAAATTCCTTGATGATTAATTTTGGAATCGCTTCAGGATTCGCAGGTGTGCCAATTTATCAAAATTTATCTACCAACCATTATCGTTGCAGTACAACAGTGACTAGGTACTGCCGTTGTTGCGAAACTTTTCAAATAAACAATACCTTTAACAATAGTAAGTAGGTGTTTATTGTTCTTTGATCGTATGTTTTTGCAATCAATTGATGGATATTGGGCTGCCACCTACTTTCACTCTTTGTGCATGAAATATTTTGAAATTGAGAAAATACTATAAAAATATATAGGAGTCACATGTTGCTGGTTTCACTTCTTGTGTATGAAAGATGAGACATAAGAAAATATTACATTTCGCATCTAAATAACTTGATACCAAGAAAGCCGGCAATATTTTATTGGGAGTAGGGGTTTATTGACATATTCCCAAGTTATTCGAATCAAACATTTTGTACCTAAACCGTTTTGTAACGGAGACTTTTATGGACGAACATGAAGAACAAACAGAATAAAAAGAAATTTCGTATCAGAAAAACAGAGATTTTAAAGTTTTTAATAAAGACTCAATGGCCGAAAAGTGGGATTTCAAATTTATAATAACGCCATCTTGTGAGGAAGGAAAAGTGGAAATGATAAAGTGTCATATATTCTAGAACACTTCTTCAAAATAGTGAAGAAAATATAAATTCGTTTTGGGCTAATTTCGGATATTTCCGAAATGAATCGAATTTCTTTAAATTTCGACTTCTCTTTAATTCAACCGGTCTCATATATCTCTCAACATTTCACAAGATCACCTTATTCCGGCTTTCCTTATCTTGGGCATGGTGTATATTCATACTTGTGATAAAATGGTAGTTGAGCACGTGTGAAATTCAAAATTCTACGCCTTATTAGAATCATTTTCACCTGTTCACTCTTAACAAAAGATGAAGAAGTGAAATTATCAGCCGCGATTTGCAAACGGTGTCTGTGTAAACACGAGTTTCTGTTAACCCAAATCGTTTAATTACCAACTTTGGAAAAATCTTTGATACAACTGCAAGCACATAAGTTTATTTTCGTAATTTGAGTTCTAAACCCGAACAAATTGAAAGGTTGTCGCTTATCTTCATTCCTCTCCCTCTATCTTTAGATACACTGTTAATAATTATTCATGAACTTATCACTTATCTTAAGCTAAGGAAACAGGGATTTATAACTAAAATCGTTGACTAAAACTCTGATTTTAATAATGTTGTGCTTTGCGATTAGCTCCTCCTTATTTATTTTGTCTGTCGTTGCCCAAAATTAACACATAAATTGAGAACATCGCACCTGTTTGTAAAAACTTAATTGAGTTTCGCATAAACCCAAATTAAATTCACTAAAAAAACGGTTCTTGGAAATTGGATTTTTTTTTTTAAATCTTTATTTTCTCTCCCGTTCACACTCCTTATTTTGTCTGAGTCGTTATAACTGCATTTTTCTTCATTATTGGTAACCTGAGCAACTTTCTTTTCACAAAAGCAGTCTTACCACTCGATAATTGTAGACCAAACCAAACAAGTGACACACTTTTTTGAGAAACAACCGCTAAGCAAATAAATAACTTAATTATTTAAATAAATATTTCAAATTAATTGACTTACCGCTATTGTTATTATTTTCCGACGATGAAATCTTGCAATCCCCCTCTGGACACCCATTATTATTGTTACTATTATTCTCGGCCACAACCACATTCAGAACCACCACAGCACACCACACCAAAACCACAATAACAAAACCACCCTGGGCTGTCATTTTTTTTTTCCTTCTAGAAACCAAAACACTAAGTTGCACTTTGACACACCTAGAAAAGAATCTCTTCAGGTAAACGAACGTGGAACGGTAAAAGTTTCTTGTGGGTTAAGTTGTTTTGATCACGACATTACGTGCTTCGGTTACGAAGAAGAGGTACGTCTTGGTTGTTGTAACCTTCGCGTTCGCGGCGCGCTCTGACTTCTGCTGGTGCTGGGTGAAGGCATGGGTTCTCGGGTTCGAGTTCTTTGGGTACCATCACCAAAGCACGTCGAGAGTTGCGGCTCGCGCAACAAACAGATAGAAAGCCACACTAAAGTAGTTAGCGATGGTGAGATTGTTTGAAGATGATAATATTCATAGTTTTTTTCAGATGAAGAGGATATTATGCAGGGACGGAGGAATTCAAGGATTTTTTTGGCCTTGCGTGATGATGAATCAGCAGAGTCGGATCATCTAAATATTTTTCTGCTAATTCTTATTTCTTGAATAACTTTTAGAGCGCGTTAAAAAGAGTAAAACAGTAGTTTTTTCCCTTGTTATATACAAGTCAAATTATAAGTATCAATTTGCTTTTTTTTTTTTAAATTGGTTCGATCACAAAAGACAGTCTCGGTACCATGAGCAGAAGATATTGAGTGATGGTTAACCCTTCCGTCTGGACAGGTTAAGATTAAATCGTCCAGAAAATCAAATAGTGAAGGGAAGGCAGGAAGTTCCAGAGGTAGGCAGTACGAGTACGCATGCCACAAAAGCCCCATATTTAGAGGTCCTCGTGGTAGCCAACTTTACCTACATACGAATGGGATGCCTGTGAGAAGAGAAGAAGTGTAAAAACCTAATTTTTAAGAAGCGGTTTCGACGATCGAAGATACATGGTCATGCCAACACAAGTTGTTCGGTGCGGTTAGGTACCCCAAAAAGAGATACTGAGGAATTGACAGAAAGCTTTTGTCCCGCCATCCTTAAAACTGGGTTATCATCATCGGCAGAATATTTCTTATTTGAGAATACTTGAGTTGTAGAAGCATTGAATTTGACTAGGTTGTTAAGGCCCCTATACGGTTGCAATCATTTCTGGCAGTCGTAAAGGACGATCCATGGACGATCGAGTTTGTTAGCATTGGTTTCTACGCCAGGTACGCTGTTTTTTGCAACCAATCGGACACACTGCTTGTTAAAGCATGATTTTCCGGCATGAGATGCTTTATTGGTGAATGGAATGTACAATTCTATACCTAAGGAAATTATTCCGTTAATCTCTTGTGCAGCCTGGGAGGAATCTTTGGATTCAAAGCAAACATTGGAACACAGAAAGGTAGAGAAAGAAAGTGTGTTTTAGCTTGGTGGCCAATAAAATTTGGTCAAACATTTTCTGGATAAACTTTCTCAAAATTAAGTAAAATAAGCGTAAAAATGTTACAAGTGGCGTGCAATCTCATCGCGTGAAATGGATCATATGGGAATTTTCTTGAATAGATGGATTGACGGCGTTATTGCTGAACTTGCTATTTACGCATTTTATACTCACAATTATCTAGGTATAGGGACTGAAGTTGTATTTTTAAAACACTTTAGTCCTGAGGTGTATACACTATTTTATGTAGGTACTTTAGAGGGTTTAAAAGTACACTTTTAATCGTTAGGGATTAAAAGTACCCTTTTATTCCCTGTTTCATTCAATCCCTGGGATATAAAATAAAAATTTAATCCCGGAGATTAAAAGACCCACTTTACTCCCTTAAAACAGGGATTAGAAAGGGAACTTTTAATCCCTAAAGTGCATAAATAAATATTTTTCCCCAACTTTTTGTGCCTATTCGGATAAATTTTCGCGTACCTACCACTGGCTGGCCAATACTCGATTGTTTTTTTTTCCGAACTCTCATGGTTTTTCCCTTTTTCGTTGCCTTCGAATAATTTGAACAGAAATAGATACCTTATATCATGTAGAGTTAAACTTCTCCAATTTTTATTTACTACGGCAAATACTGTAACCGACGTAATAAGCGTATAAAGGTGAACTCTCAAGTAGGTAAAAAAATAAGCAGTATAAAATCAAGGTTGGTCAATTTATCATCATCGGTAATTGGTGGGTAAAGGTTGTTGCACGAAGAAATAATATTATGATGATGATGATGATGATGATGGTGAGCTATCGATCAGTTATTCAGTAACTTAATAAGTATAACTGAATAAGCCGAGGAATAAACTTCATAGGCGGAGAAATATGATAAAAAATTCAATTTGAACACAATATTACCTATCTATACTTGCCGATCAATGTGGTCTGACATCCTAACACGAACCCACAACTTAAGTTCTTATTTTTCTCATGTAGTTTTTTTTATTAAAGCATTTCATCGAGAATAAATACTAAGAAGTTACCGAACTGTCGTTTTGTTGGTAAAAAATCTTAATCTTGTCCAGGCATGTTTATTGTTTATAGAAAAGTTTGGAATTGTATTCTGCAAAACATAGCTGATCCTGATACATTGTTACTAGATATCGGGTCTTCAAATTACGAAAACGTACAGGGTGATCTATTATAAATGTCACCCCTTCTAACTTTTTCATTCGACATTTCTGACAAATGTGTCAAATACAAAAGTTTCAAGAAATTGTCGAAAGTTTTCAATTAAGTCAGTTTTAGGCATAGAGGGTGCGTCAAAAAAGTGCAGCAGTGTGAAGTTATATATTTTAAAATGGAACACCCTGTTTTTGTTAGTTCCTTTTAACCTAATTTCAACGATATATGGTTTGATATATCTATCTTCAATAGTTATAGGAAAAAACATGAAAACCCCTTTCAAGGTGTCATATTATTGAAAAAAGAAAAATTATATTATTTAAGCTTTAGAGAATTTTTCTTATGAACAGTTTATTATTCAAAATCCATTCATCAATATACAAGGTGAAATATTATAATAAATCCACATGTCTAAGTTATTATTATTTTTGAAAAAATAACATGAGAAACCGTTTCTCATGTGAGAAACCTAGGAAGGAATTTTCGCGTTTTTCACTATAACTATTGGAGATAAACCGAGAGATAAACATATGAAACCGTATGTCGTTGAAATCAGGTTAAAATGGATTAACTAATAAGAGCACAATATACAGGGTATTCTATTTAAAAAAAAATATAACTTAACACTACTGCACTTTTTTGACGCACCCTGTATGCCTAAAACTAACTTAATTAAAAACTTTTGACAATTTCTTAAAACTTTTGTATTTGACACCTCTGTCTAAAACGTCAAATGGAAAAGTTAGGAGGGGGTGACATTTATAATAGATCACCCTGTACGTCACATTATTGGCGGGGTTCGTTTATTGCATCTGCGAGCGCAAAAAGAGCAAATTTTGACGGACGTCAGGTGACCACTTAGGTATCTTTTTTCACGTGTTAAATCACGTGACATTTGTCAAATTTTGCTCATGTTGCTCGCAGAAGTGATAAATGAACCCCAGCCGTTGTTCGTTTATTGGTCAGGTTTTTTGACACGACATTTTGACATTAAAGTTCATTGACAAAATTAAAGAAAAATATTGCTTAAACATACGTTTAAAAAATCAGACCATGATATTCAGTGGCGGCTCGTCAGGGGAGGCAGTGCCTCCCCTGCTACAAAATGTATTTTTATATAATTTTAACCCCCAAAAAAATTTACCTATGACGCTAATTTTTTGTTTTTTTGGGCTGCCTCCCTTAAAATAAAAGTCACGGGCCGCCATTGCGGTGTTGCCGCCTTTACTCCAAATCAGTGTTTCTTCCTGATTACAAATATATATATGTTGATCACATTTCCTTGAGCCATTTTTCACATATTTCAGCTTAAATTATAACTAAATTGCGAAGAAATTTTATAAAGATACAGATGCTTATGGAACTTCTCTGCAAATTCTTTATAATTTAACCTGAAATATGTCAAAAATTGCTCACGCAAATGTTATCAATACAGGCTGTATCAGGTTTGACTACAAAAATTTTAACACGTGAAAATATAACCCATTTTGAACAAAAAAAGTTTATACAACATGGGGTCCAAAGTCAACCATTTTTGAGAAAAAGGCCTTTGAAGTTTTGAAATTTTTTAACGAATATTTTAAAGGTAAAGAAAATTTCAATCATTATGAGATGTAGAAAAATTTAGTTTATCCAATTATTAAGTAATTATACATTTTAAGTCAGCAACAATAACAAAAAATTGAAAAAACAACATACCTACTTACAAATTTTACTTGTAAAAGGGTATCTAAACATCTGGCAACACAGCACAATAAAGAATAGGTGGTTGAAGGGTGAACCTAGCTTGGCGGAGGTGAATAAATTGATTCTTGATTTGTCTAGTTGAGAAACGCGCGTAATTTAAATTTATTCTTTTTTGAAAATAAAATGTTTAGAAACATCGAATATGCCTTGTTTAGGCAGAAACGTTGAAAAATGCTCATTTAGCTGCCAGAATTTACAAGGAAACTAGGGAAAAATTTCCCAAAAGAAAAGCACCCACCTGATGAAAGAACATTGTGCCCGTTTTACAACGATTGCGTGATACAGGGAGTGCAAGTTGTGAGTGTACAAAATCTGCGTGTTGATTTTAGAGTTTTGAGAACCTTTTAACAAAAATTAATATTTTCATAATAAGGATTTGACAAGTAGCTGAGTAAGTATTATTTGATTTTTCTCTTGAATGTTTAGTGCAAAAATGTCATTGAGTACAATTCACAACTTAATAAAACGGCACATTTTTTATTTTTACTAGAAAATTGATAAAAATGCAAGTTATTATTTACATTATTTGAAAGCCAATAACAAACTAAAACGTAAACAGATGGAAATAAATAAACTCCGTGCAATAAAAAACCTTTTTAAATTCACCAGTTTTATTTACCTTTATATTCTGGCAGAGATAATACCTGTACAATGTTGTCACGTTGTTACCATTTTTCTTAATTTTAATTCTGCGATAACTCCGAAAATACTAACAATTGACCCATGGTTAATAGGACAGTTTTAGCTTGAAATGGGCCATATTATCTCATGTTAAAATATTTGTAGTCATACCTGGTACACCCTGTATATATATATTTGGAATCAGAAAGAATAGATCTTTCATTTTTTCGCATAATATACAGGGTGTTCCATTAAAAAAAGTCGATGTTGCTTACGTTTCTCCATTTTCCAATGAGAT